TTATACGAACATAAGTAAGAGACTATACGGTAATATACGAACATAGTAAGACTATACGGTAATATTGATTTTGTTTAATTTATTCCTATAGCTCATGTGACTCTCTCTTGCTCATAATACTTGCTCATAATATTACGAATATTATTTGTTTTTCGCCCATTTCCTTTCCCTTACCTTTCCATCTATAAATGATGACGGTTTAGTTATAGCTACTGATAGTCACGTTTGTTTACTAAGTGATGTTTACTTTGCTATGTATTAAAATGCTTGTACTAAGCAATTACCTGATATCTAAATATGCATTTTTTTTACTAACTCAATTCATTTATAAATCTGAAATTAGCTTGTAATTCAATTCTTATAAATATACAAATTTAAATATGGGTACAATAAAGGTTTTAAATGTTTAATTTATACAAAATGATGTTTTAATTTCTCATCTCTCTATTTTGAAATCTCTCATGCATACATGCATATGTATATGGAATATAGAATGAATAAAAGAAAATTTTTTTTTCTTTTTGGAATATTTATTGTAATCCATTAATATCAACTATATTATTATATGTATTTGCTGAGACAATTATTTAGATTGTAAAACAAGGACCATAAAAAACAATTTCATTGTAAAACAATTTTCCCATAATTTTATGCTTATATATTTTATATAGTATCTATGACTATATATATTCTAATATAACATTTTATATTTAATATCCTTTTTGGCTATACCCAGCCAATTTATTTCATAGGGCACCAACAACATAGATATTACCATATCATTTAAATTCGTATGTAATATTTAAAACGAAAATTTCACATAATTTTTCTTATTTTTAAAATCTTTTTAAAAATCAAATAGTGTAATCTAAGTCAAATTATATTTTAGTATATCCTTGTAATATTATTGTATAAAAAATATATAAATTTTAATTGAAAGAACCGTTTAACCTTTTTCATATATTCAACAATTCCATATACATATGTGGAATAGAGCGAATTCATTTTGTTCCCTGTTTTTATTTTACAACAAGAATTTTTGCAAGGATAACATTTTTTTAAATTTACCCATATTGTCCTGTTGTATATAGTGTGCAATTATTTTTCATATGACTTAAACATGCCTTTTTTTTTAGAAACACAGCTTTTTACAAATAACACAGAGAGAAAAAAGGAGATACGCATTGACACAACACAAAATATTGCATGGGTACTCCATAAATTTAAGAATATTTTTAGTAGTGTTAGTAAGGTATTGAAAATTGAAAAAATAAAGATCGGAAAATTAAATTAAAATTAGTATTTGTTACTGCTTCAATTCCTTACGATACTATTTTAACCATAGCAATAGAACAGTTTTAGCGAAATCTTAAAATAAGGCTGATTCTGAGCATTGAATTACTATGTGATAATTATACTTATTGTAAATGCTTCAAAAACTTTATTACGGACACGAATCATTTTGTATGAATCGATTTGTGTTTATACGATCATACGATCGAACTTTTTACGATCATTTTTAATTTGAACACCGAATTTTTTAGTTCCTAATTTCTAGATTGTTAAGCATGTTTTGGTTCTCCGTCATATTTGAAAATTTAAGCTTTAATAACTCTAAATAATTCGTTGAAACTCTATATTACTAAAATTTATAATGTTAACGATATGCACAAATATTTGGCTGAATCCGCCGAAATCAATTTTAAATTGAGCATATTTAGCTTTTATATAAACATTTATTGATATTTACATAAATACTTACATAGTATATAGATATAAGAATTAAACATGCATCTGAACATTATGTTAGTGCATACGAATATACTCATCTATATAATAAAACAAAAAACAAGTCATCTAGGACAACGATTTTTCATGTAAAAAAAAAATAATATTTTTTTTTTTTCGTAAAGTATTAAACAAATTTCCCATGAAAATTCTAAACAGATTATTCATAAACTTTAAATATATAAGGGAATAAGAATATATCGTGTTATTTTAATATACTTGAAAAAAATCTTCACAAATCTATACAAATATTACATTTATGCATTTATTATTTTTACATGCATTGTGCATTGTAAAGGACATGTACACATTAAATTTTTTTTTCTTTTTACAATATATATATATATACACATATATAGTTGTTAAATGATTTTGATGACGACATCAACAATAATATCTACATTCAAACGAACAAGAACAATTTTCTAATTGAGAGAAAAATAATTTTTCCAATGTTACTTCTGCACTTTTTCATAAAAAAAATTTTTTTTTCTCCTTTAATAATAAGGATCCTCTGTTACTTTATGTAATATAGTCCTTTTCTACATGCACATGTTTATTATGTTTGTTCAAAATCATGATGTATACATGGAATATATAAACTGTATATTGGAATGTATATATATGTTTTTAAAATTAGAAATGAAAAAAAATTATACATGGTCGACTGATAAATTGGGAATAATTTACGAGGTACTGTACAAACAAAAAAAAATTCGAGAAATGCTTGTATTAAATTTGTAATGTTTCGGCTTTTATAAAATTCTAGCACTAATATTGCGGTTTTGTCCTTCATCTTAAATTATATTACAGAAAACTTTATATTTCTAGAAGGTATATTGTAGGATTTTACAATGTTGACTAATTTTCCATCAGAATTTCGAACATATTACAGATATTAAGAAAAAAACGCGAAAGTTACTTAAAATACCTAAGTAAGAGATCGCCCGAAGCATACAGAGAATACAAATCTGTGAGAAACCGCGTAAATTCCAACATACGCAGAATAAAAAAAGAACACTGGGAAGCGTTTACTGCAGACATTGAAAGAGATTTGTATGGTGCTCAAAAAAAAGTGTGGGGAATGCTTCGACGAAGGAAAAAGGAGGTAAATGAATATGTGCAAACAAATACTATATCTATTCAAGACTGGGAAAATCACTTTAGAAAGTTGTATGAAAATAGGGAAGACCGTGAAGCAGAAACACTTTTGCCAGAAGTAATAAGTACTTTTATTAGCATAGAACTTGTGGAGAACGCTGTAAAAAGTTTGAAAAATCGAAAGGCAGCCGGATATGATGAAATACCAAATGAGCTAATAAAATACGGGGGCGAAGGTCTTCATCATCAATTGGCATTATTGTTCCAAAAAACCATTACCAGCGGAACAATTCCAACTGACTGGAGGAAGAGCCTCACAATACCTATTTTCAAAAAGGGGGATAAAAGGATCCCGGAAAATTATAGAGGGATAACTCTTCTAAGTGCGGTAATGAAGCTCTTCACAAAAATTCTCCAGAATCTCCTATCAGAAAAAATTATTATGTGTGAAGAACAGCAAGGATTTCAAAAAAACAGATCTACGATAGACGCAATTTTTGTGGTGCGACAAGTAGTAGAAAAATCAATAGAATTCGAGAAACCGGCATTTATGTGCTTCGTGGATTTAACTAAAGCTTTCGACCGCGTCCAACTCAATGATATAATCGAGATATTGACAGCGAAAAACATCCCACCCGAAATAATTAAAATTATCGAAACCTTGAACAGAAACACCTCCACATATATATTAACGAACAACATCAAATCAAACGAAATTCAAATATCATCAGGAATAAGGCAAGGCGATTCTTTGAGTCCATTTCTCTTCAACTTAATAATGGAAAAAATAATATCTGAAGTGAAAAACGCAGGACGTGGCTATAGAACTTCAAAAGGAGAAATAAAAATTATATGCTACGCAGATGATGCCGTGCTAATATCCGAAAATGAAGACGAGCTGCAAAAATTGCTACACCAGTTTTATATTACATCTTCAAAATTAAACATGGAAATTTCGGTAGCAAAAACAAAGTCTCTGGTAATTGCAAAAGAACCTTTAAGATGTAAATTGGCGGTTAACGACAAAATAATAGAGCAAGTAATGTCGTTTAAGTATTTAGGGGTAGAGGTTTCTGCTTGCCAAAACCGAAAAAAAAGAAAATATGCAACAAATAAACAAAGCAGCAAGAGTCAGTGGTTGTCTAAGCGACATTATATGGAAAAACAAGCACATGGGACAAGCAGCGAAGATTAAAATATATAAATCATGCGTACGCCCAATTATGACTTATGCAGTGGAAACTAAGGCGGAGACAAGCAAAACAAAAGCCAACTCGCGTGCAGCAGAAATGAAAACGCTTAGAAAAATAGCAGGACGCACATTGCAAGATAGAGTTCCGAGCGCAGAAATAAGAAACATGTTAGATGTTCAAGATGTGGTAAGATGGGTAAGAGCTAGGAGGCGTGCCTGGAATGAACACGTCTCTAGAATGCAGAGTGACCGCATTGCAAAAATAGCAAGGGATGGCAAGCCAAGCAACACCAGGCCGCCAGGCAGACCACCTAAAAGATGGATCGAGTGCTGGAAATAATTAAAATTATCGAAACCTTGAACAGAAACACCTCCACATATATATTAACGAACAACATCAAATCAAACGAAATTCAAATATCATCAGGAATAAGGCAAGGCGATTCTTTGAGTCCATTTCTCTTCAACTTAATAATGGAAAAAATAATATCTGAAGTGAAAAACGCAGGACGTGGCTATAGAACTTCAAAAGGAGAAATAAAAATTATATGCTACGCAGATGATGCCGTGCTAATATCCGAAAATGAAGACGAGCTGCAAAAATTGCTACACCAGTTTTATATTACATCTTCAAAATTAAACATGGAAATTTCGGTAGCAAAAACAAAGTCTCTGGTAATTGCAAAAGAACCTTTAAGATGTAAATTGGCGGTTAACGACAAAATAATAGAGCAAGTAATGTCGTTTAAGTATTTAGGGGTAGAGGTTTCTGCTTGCCAAAACCGAAAAAAAAGAAAATATGCAACAAATAAACAAAGCAGCAAGAGTCAGTGGTTGTCTAAGCGACATTATATGGAAAAACAAGCACATGGGACAAGCAGCGAAGATTAAAATATATAAATCATGCGTACGCCCAATTATGACTTATGCAGTGGAAACTAAGGCGGAGACAAGCAAAACAAAAGCCAACTCGCGTGCAGCAGAAATGAAAACGCTTAGAAAAATAGCAGGACGCACATTGCAAGATAGAGTTCCGAGCGCAGAAATAAGAAACATGTTAGATGTTCAAGATGTGGTAAGATGGGTAAGAGCTAGGAGGCGTGCCTGGAATGAACACGTCTCTAGAATGCAGAGTGACCGCATTGCAAAAATAGCAAGGGATGGCAAGCCAAGCAACACCAGGCCGCCAGGCAGACCACCTAAAAGATGGATCGAGTGCTGGACATCAACTTCTCAAGAGGCGAACTAATTGGAAAAGAACAGGCTGAGAGGCCTATAAAGAAGAGGAAGAAGAAGAAGAAGAAGAAAAAAACCTGAATCTAATATTTTACAGAAATATAAAAAATTGCAATGAAAATATGCTTGCTTCTTTATATAAACTATAAAAATTTCATATAGTGTCTTAAAGACAATATCAAGCTCATATTCTCTTGGATTTACAGACGTAAAATATTTATATTTGGGTTTAACTTTTCACTTTCTTACAAATTCTATATACTATTTAAATAACACTTAATAACGCCATTTTGCAACAAAATTTATTCGATTCAAAAACTCGGAAATCTAATAGGTATAAATAAAAAAAATTTTCCTTCTATGGTACACTCGCATCTCATATTTCCCATAGTGATTGTTATAAAACATAAATATACTAAATAGTGTCATGGTCTATGCGAATATAACAAAGTCTGTTTACTATTGTTGTGTTAAATATTCAAATAAATGAAATTCAGTAGCCCATATACATAATAATGCAAATAGTATATGAGGGACAACAACTCTAGCAACAATATACAAACCCATATATATTAAAGAACAACAAGAATTGTATGTACATCAATATTGTAGTTGCATAGTATATTTTGGGTGCAACCACCATAGGACACATTGAATAAATTCCACACTATTTCTTTTTCAATATAAACTTTTATAATAAATATTTCAACATTTCTATATATAGCGTACATATACGAAAAGAAGATTATATTCACAAATGTATGTATTCCGAGATTTTAAGTATATTTATAGATATTAAATATCCGAGCAGCAAATAAGTATTAAAGAATGAAGACATTATAGCCTTGAATCAACATGAAGATGAAAAATAAATACACATAATGATATTATTATGTACTCTGTACAATGTATATACAAGATATTCATAAGTATTAATATACATTTACATTATATGTATAGAATAATGTACAGAACATAAGTATATCCAGAGCATATTTAGAATATTTCATTTTATGTTGATTCATTTATTCTCCTCTTAACTTACACATATGAAATAATTCTTTAAGAATCGACCTAAAGTTTTTTCATAAAATATTTTATATAATATACAACGTACATTGTATATATGTTTGAATTGTTATAGTCAACACAGAAGGTATTTAAAATTTGAAGCCTAATTTATAAGTCTGATAGTTTGAGTTAAAAATTCTGTATGTGATATTCTGCAGACATGCAGATTTATGACATGCAGAGAAAGTAATCCAAAATATGTAGAATATTGAAATACTAAAAGTGTTCCACATTGTTTTAAACAGATATTAGCAGCTCTTATTCCGTTTAGCATGAAATAAATTTGGTATTGAAAATTTCATTTGACTAAAATTTAACCAAATGCCAACTTGTCGAAATCTTCAAAATATAAGTTATATTGAATGATTTAGACAAATTGAATGAATTGTAATAATTACAAATTTTGATGGAACAGCTACTGGAATAGTTCAGATTTAGTTTGGATTCAAAATGCTCTCCACAGAATTTTAAAGTTTATCCCACAGTTAGACTGATTTACTTACAAGTTTTTCAAATCATTTTAGTACAAATTTTATGCACCTTCAGAAAACAAAACTTGTAATGTACAAAAGGTTTTCGACTATAAAGAGATTTTAAAGTTTACATATTGTACACTAAAATAACAGAAATTGTGTGCACTTGTATGTGCATAGTTGTTTTCTTCGTTTCTATATTCTAACATTTATTTTATATACGTGACAAGTAAACGACCAATTTGGGAATTTCTATAGAATGTAGTTTTTTTTTTGTGCTGTTCAAGAAATACAGAACAGTAGCACATAAATAAAACCGGAAATAAAATATTTCCTTTCTTGTTGAAAGTGACGGTTTTATAAGGTTAACGTTGTCCTTTAAATTTTTTGTTTTTTTTAAAGACTAAAAAAAATTGTTTGCTTTGCTTTTCTTTTTATTTTATTTCTTAGTTTTCTTTTTAGTTGATTTAGTTTTTAAGAGCGAATTTAATAATGCTATACCGAAAGTCAAGTTAAAAATTTTTAATGCACATTTTTTTGCAATATTCAAGAGTCTATAGTTTAGCCTTACAAAAAATTATAAGTTTGGATTTTTATTAAAATTAAAAAATAATTCAAAATATTTGCAAATCGCAGCTAAACATTAAGCTAAATAGAATCGTGCTAAATTGCAATCTTTGAACAAAGAACAGCAAAATGAGATTATCCAGCGAATTTACTGAATTTTTAATTAAAATACTTATATGGAGATCTTAAAATTTCCATATTCACTACACTAGCATAACAAAACTTGTTTTGGATTTGGTATATTGTTAATATCTTGTGAATGAGAGCCCCATAATCCCAAATGTAATAAAAATTTCAGCTACCTCAAATAAAAATTTTAATTAGAGGGAGGTAAATGCAAACGGAATGATAATTAAAAATAATTTCTCGCTAATCTGCTTTACACGCTATCTTATACCCAGAGCACAACATCTAGCTTATGTCTATTTTATAGAATATTCTACCGACAGCAAGAAAATATGGACAGGTATACTTAGATATAAAAAAAAATTAACTACGATAGGCTCGTCACCTACCTAGTAAACTCAATAACGTAAGAAACTGATGTTCATGCACCAGCCCTATGCTTCTCCCAGGAGCGAAGTCGAAACAACAAAACAAAATAGATATAAAATTATTTAAAATTAAAATTTATTCTTAGTTTACAATCCCTTTCAACGGGCACATAGGAAGGGAAAGAGATGACCGGTAAAAAAAAGGGAGCTTATGTAATGCCACCAAATTTCAAATGTTGAGTTTTTAGTGATCATGTACTTCTCTAAGGTAGGGAAGCGTAAATAAACTATTTTTAGAGAATGTCTGACTGTCGGTCAGGCTGCTTATTTGTCTGTGTCTGCTGGCATGTATCTTAAGTTCAGCTATATCATAGATTAATCAACTTTTTCGACAAAATGATTTGTAATATGGCAACGTTAAAATGAACTGGAATATCACAAAATAAAAATGTTTCTTGCTTACAAATCAGAAAAATCACATAGACTCCTTGAAACATACTAAGCATTGTAACAGGAACTTAAAAATTTTTAATTATTTTCAAAATTTTAAAAATTTCTCGAAAACTTCCTCTTATTAATTTAAAATAAATCGAATTTTTGTGCAATAAAAAAATTTTCTAAATTTGAAAATTACTTATAAGAACAAATTACAGCCTCATTAAAAATTCAGCACAATATCCCAATATCCGATATATTAAACAAACATGTAGGTTATGTTCTCTAGATTTTATAACAGAAGCAATTTTTTTTAGATAAAAACTTTTTATTCCCGTTTAAGTTACATAACGCTTTTGTACTAACTTTTTGTTTTTTAAACACACTTACCTTAAAACTATAGTTTTTATCTACACCTCATATGCTTTGAATGGAGAAAAAATGTAAAATTCTAAATTAAAGTTTTCATATAGTTTAGAAAATAAAATGAAACAATTTTTAAGTTTATATTGGGTAATAAAAAAAAAACCAACCAACTAAAAATATTTTTTTTTGTTGGTTGTAATGGAAAAAGCATAAAAAGTAAAAGTTAAAATTAAAAGTTATTTTTTTGTGTTCTAAAAATTCATCAAATTTGGCGATGTTTAAAAATTTTCTATACTTTTTAAACTATAAACTATTTTTTAATTTTCATGTTATACGAATTTTTTTTATTGTATAACAAATATTCTATTTTTTTTAGGTAAATTTTGTGTACAGTCTCTAGATCCTAGCTAAAAATATAGGCACCAATTACACTCATACATAAAAGTGATGCAATTTAATTTTGTTAATTCTTGTGTATAACTAAAATATTTAATGAAATTAAGGATGCTATATTAAAACTTGTCTGATTCCAAAAACTTTTTAATGTTAGCAAATGAAAATTCATATTTACGTTCATTTATAGCTTCAAAAGAGCGACTAGTATTAAATTTACGACAATTTTTATATAATTGCATTTGAATGGAGCACCATTTAAAATTGTTTACCTTGTAACTACACCATAGTATTGAACTAAAACAAAACTATGAGATAACAACAGCTAAGGTCATTGATAAATTGTGTATATATACCTTCATATGAGTAGTGCAATTTTGAATAATCCTCCATACACTCAGACATTTTTATTATACACATAATGTATAAAAAGATTTAAAACATTCATTTTAAAGAAATTTATGTATGACATTACCGAAAATAATCTTCGACAACAAAACAGAAAGAACAAACCAACCATATAACCAAAGCTTATCATCAATTCTTTCAACCATTCAAAATCACATTTGTTTTATAATATTTAAAATGAAAGAAAATCCCATTTAGTTGACCGATGAAAATCTTATTAATCACCGGTCCAATTAAACCATAATAAATTTTTTTTCTTTTTTTTTGATAAGACGCTTTTCTATATAACAACAAAATCCTTTTAATAATAAACCTAAATAACTCTAATTTTATTTGGTTTGTATACATGTATTTGAACTATATAATATATAATATGCGTATTGTCCATATTTATATTTGCCTAATATACATTGTATATAATAAGTAAAGAATGAAACAATCAGAAAGCAGTGAAACGCAGAAACCCTTCAATTTCATATGTAATTTACATAAAACATTAATTTCGTTTCAAAACATTTAATTTTCACAATTTATTTTGTTAGCCAAATAAATTTTGTTATATATACTTGAATATTTTATGTATATGTAGGTATATATAGAAATAAAATTAACTATATATTTGTTTTGTATATAGTGAACATTATGTAAAAAATTTCTAATATAATTTAAATGCAAAAAACCTAATAAAATTAAAAAATGTAGAAAAAAATGAGTAAAAGAAAATAATTCCCGGCAGTTTAATATTCCGGTAGGAACATATATGTATATTGTATACTTACACGTGTTCTCTGTGTTCTACATGCTAT